TTACTATTCGCTTCAAATGTCGACAGCTTACGATGTCCTGTCTGAGTTTTGTGTATTATCCAATCGTTGGAGCGACAGTGTCTGTGCTTCGTCCATGTGATGATGACAAAGGAGTGCGTTTCATGCCTAAAACGCCCTGGATAGACTGCAGCAGTGCGACTTACCAGATACTTACCACAATGGGCTGGGTTTCTGTTGTCATCTATATCATTGGTTATCCTGCCATGCTCTTTATTCTGATGAAGATCTTTTATAAGAAGAGGGATTTCATGAATGGAAAGGAAAAGGAAAACTTGGATTCTTGGCTTGGTTCAGTGTATTTGCCATTCAAACAAGAATATCAGGCGTACTTTGAGTTCGTCCTTGTTCTTCGTCGTCTGTTGCTGGCCGTTTCATTATCTGTTCTTGCATCCATGAAGTCGACACAATCGTTGGCTGTTAGCTTGATTCTTATAATTTCTGCCATGATTCAGCTTCGTCTCCAGCCATACGACAGCACCAGAAACAACGTCAATTGCCGTGATCGTCGAATGCGCCATAACAATGTCTATGACATTGACAGCGACCATGAACATGACCATAACAATGRCAATGACCATAACAATGACAATGACCATGACAATGACCATAACAATGACAATGACTATGCCAATGATTATGACAATGATAATGACATTGAAAATAATAACAATAATATCAATATGAATATGAGCAAATTTGAAAATGTGTTTGAGTTCCTTGTTCTGTTTGTATTATCAATATCTTTTGTTACTCTAAGGTTGGCATCTMTCGACAGGTTGTTCGGAGTTCCGGTTGTGTGGATTGTGATGGTCGTCAATGGCTGTCTTTTGATAGTTTTAGTATCTTTCATCTTTTGTCAAGTATTGGGTCTCAATCCTAGACGGTGTTTTAAAAGATTACTTGCATGTTTTGACCATCGCGTTCGAATAAGAGCTTGGCTCGTGCAGCTGAGGAGCCCAGTTGAAGGATATGAAGGGCTAGAGTGAAAATTGTGAAAATTCGATTTATGAAAAACTGATTCGATTTTTTTGGATAACACTAATTGTTCTCTGTATTTTTGCGGGGGATGGGATGATTCCGTACCGATGACCACTTTGATTRAGTCTTTGCCCAAAAACATCTACGTGCAGTAGTGGGCATGCGTGCTTGAAGTTGCTCGCGCGTTGGTCGTAGTTTAGCATTTCATRAGCGCTTGGAGACGTTGGTGCTTTATTGACATCAATCGAACACAAGTCAAATAGATCGGATTTCGTATGAGTGGGTAACGGACGGTACTGTACTGTGACTGTGACTGTAATCGTACTATAACCAAATTCTAGTGCACCAATGGTTCACCAAAATTGTAAAGGCCATGCAGGTCCGGTGACTGTGCGGTAACCGTGCGGTAACGGTGTTCCACTCATACGAAATCCGCTCAAATATTTACATATAACGCATCTCGGCGTGTTAATGTTACATGTTGTATATATTTTTCACTATGTCTTTAATTTATAAATAATAGCTGTCACGATGTAAATTGAAATATACGTAAATGAATTGCGTCTAAACACCAACAAAAAAAGTTGTATTCATTCTTTGATGGATAGAGGTCTTCTGTCAACAAGAAAAATACTATGAAAATAAAACAGCTGTACTTGAAAGCGCATGATTTTGAAGGGAATTAAATCAAGAAAATTGCTTAAGTGTCAAGAGTATTCTTCTAAAAGGGATTCTCATAATAACACGCTTGCACGCTTGGCGTGAAAAGTAGGTTCAAATGAAGGCATAGTCTCTTACCAGACTGACGGCTATTTACAGTTTTATGATCATGGAAGAGAGACGTGAAGGCTTGGACAAATCATTGACGTCATAAATATATGACGTATTTCCAATTCATCGATAAAAAAACTAACACAACGCCAGCATTTTAAAGTAATAATTKCTTTTTTAATGGAGTTTATGGATTAAAACAMGATCAAAGAGGAGCGGTAAAATGGCGCACAGCGAAATTGTGTTTGCATAGAAAGAATTCAAAACAGGAAGGGCTTACTTTTTGTCTTTTGTCGGTTCATTTGCCGGAATTACTTTTTAGTTATTTTTAGGCTTYTTTCAGGAATAGTCTSAAAGATGTTTTTKTCTTTCCCTTGAGAATTTCTTTCTTTACAATCTGAAGTGGTATTTTCTATATTTTGGGAGTGATGATGGGTTCAAAGCATCTCGATGACAAGTGATGTTTGTCCATACTTATCCCTCTACAAGCTTTTAAGGACTTCAAGATTATAATTTGTTGAAGACAGGTGATGTCTATTAGAGTGCAATATTCTATGTCTAATTTTGCAAATGTATTATGAATTGGACGTGTTGATATTATAACTCATTCACTTTAAATTTATCAACAACTAAAACAGCACTAAAGGCACTCGTGAGAACTTATCTTGATTAATTTCTYGTTTTATCTTGATTACCAACCCTCTTTACATCTTTCGTTTGTTGCTGTGTTTTTTTTTTTATTTCTTACGCACTATTCTTTTTTCTTGGCTATTTTTTCTATAATAATTCCACTTTTWAGCGTATAATTCTCGTTATATATTGGTCCAGCTAATATCATTTGTATTCAGAATCTACAGACACCAGTCCTTTGCGCATATTGTCCCTTGTCAATAACAAAGGCACGGAAAGTTCCATAATTATAACAACCAAATAGTTTGAAATGTCCATCATCCAGTTACCAAAGGTTACCAATTCTCAAATTTAGAATATTTAATGCATGTTTATCTTATTGTGCTTTTGATACTTTGKAGGTGTTGGACGTGTTAAATTCGCGTTAATCCCTCTAATTCTAGCTATTGCGCAGATGCACMGAACGGATKCGGGCTTTATACTAGCTGCTGAGTAAGCACATTAGTAGGACACTAATCAGGCGGAATTTGCCATAGTCCTCAAAGAAAGTAGCAAACGCATCGYKCGATAGGTAATATTTCAAAGTAAAAATGACAAAGTATTGTGTCAGAAGAARTAGCATGCATACTGCAAAGTGATTTTTAGGTTTAGCATCAGCTAAAATAAACTCATCTGATCTGCACTTTTCTACTTTTCTCGATTGAGAACACTGCCAGTGTATCACAAACATAYCGCGGAGAAACAGCCAGTAAGAATGCTGCTKTGATTTGTTGATTTCATTGATTGTTTTTTCATGGATTTATTTTYTTGTTCTTTTGTTTATTCATGTTTTCTTTCATCTATTCATTGTCATTTGTCCATTGATTCAAATGATTATTTTATTCATTCATACATCCCTTCGTTCTTTCTCGGCGCATAGATGTTTATAAATTATGTCCTTTATGGTCATCAGAGCTACTCTTGAGTCGACAGTAGTACGAGGGCCCGCGTGTGTAGCCTCAGGCTTCAGTAACTACTAATCCTTTTAATGATAAACTAAGTACGTTGTCGACTTACTGCACCTCCAGGCTCTCAACTTACATATGATGGAATATTCTAGAGACATCAAAACGCCGATAGTGTTCAATTCTCAATATGTCTTTGTGTAGGAGAAGTTGAAATTATGTTTGGTTAGGAGAGCAGACTATGTTTATAAATGATATTAAAATGTAAGCTTGAGTCGTGAAGTCGACAGAGCACGCAAGACAAGTAAGTGGACACCGTGTACGAGTCCCTCTTTTCAACACCCAAATGTATTAGTCAAAAAAAAAAAAAAAAAAAGATGTGAGCATTGCGCTGTATCGGTAAGAAGTGTAGTTATCTTAAACTTTTGCAATTCTTCCACTCATCCTTTTAGATTCCTCCATTTCTAGTTTATTTTAATTTTTTCCTTTTTTTTGTTTTCATTTCACATCACCTATCTTACCATTTTATAATTTATTAGTGATATTGTCTTATGATCTATTTCCTCTTTTCCGTTTGGTTTTGATTCCCATCGTCTCTCATCTCTTTTTATCCTTCTTTCTGTTTCTTTACTTTCGTCTTCTTTTTCACACTTTTTACTTTCCTTTTTCCGTCCATTTTATATCGATTTTATCACGCTTGTTTTGCAACTTCAGGCAATTTTCACCCGGTTAAGAAGGCTTAGCACAATTTGATCTGATAATAACCTCATTACGATCGACTCAGAGCACTTTTAATCGRCAGCAAACGTTTTACTCAGAAAGAGTAGAATTCCCTCTATRCATGTAKCTACTTCAATAAACTGAGTCATGTCGTCATGCACAAGTCGGTCTAAATSTTGTATCGCGTAGTATCTATCGTGTTGTCATCATTATAGCTCAAAACAATGCTACGATTAATTCGTGTTTACCTAGAAAAGCGCCCAACTACCACCTGGCCGATTTGCATTATGCTACTTTATACTGGCTCTGCTCTTTTAGATTTTGAAGTGCAGATTGACAAGAAGTGCTTTCGTATTCTGGACTTTCAACGTTGAAATCAGGCAAGATTCTAAAAGACTGAAAGACCTAAGTGAGTACATATTGAAATAATTTATTTGGATGTTTCATCTRTTCTAAAAAGCGCCACTACAAAAATCACTATATTTCCCAGTGGGAATTCAACTGTTTGGCTATATGTAAAGATCATTTACATATACAAATGTGAACTTATATCCTTAAGGGTTAGTATTGGTAGAATTGAACTACCAAACACGGTTAATAACCATTACTACAATATGAAACAACGAGCTTGCCTTGAACTTAAKTTTTGTTTCACAATGATTTTCCAGCTTAATCTTTTTTAACATATAATAATTTTGTGCTACTATTTCATATATAGCCAAGTGTGACTGTATTCCTTCTACTAAAATTAGACAAAGAAATATATGATAATATGTGGACCGCGTGGCATTAGACAATCTATGAGCTAGAAATAATGGAAAGTTATAGTGCTTGGGAAGGAATTTCTTTGTTATTAATTAGAAATATATGTTTGAGTAGTAGTAAGACTTTTTAGTAAGGCTTTTTGTGCTATAGGAAAATATGTATTTTTTACCCAGCACTATCCAGCATCGCTAGTCCAGTCATAGCAAAGAAGAGAGTAAAAGTCGATAATGATTAGTTTGCGCCATAGCKTCGTAAAATGAACATCCAGCAAAGACGGAGTGGGAATGCACAAAATTGTTRGTACGCCCAACAATGGYAGACGGTGTTGGGCCTTATCTACTCGCCCCACATTGCTCGTAATATTTACAACAGTAATGTCAATTCCTAATAGATCCTAATACAATGCAGTTTTAATAAAAGTCGCTTGCGCTACAGAGAAAAACGTATAATAAATCCATGAAATAGTTAAATGTGCAATGGTATCAGGCTGAGATGTATTTAGAAATATTATATATTTAGAAAAGTCGAAGAGTTTGAAGAGTTTGAAAATACCTTGTAAATATACTGTAAATTTACGGTAAATCCAGTTTACACGAATATACCCTTTTCTCTATTGATTAAACGGTAAGTTGTATAGTGGTATAGTAGGATTACCATAATGAATTGTGGGGAATTTTCTTCTACAAACTACGGGTCGATAACTCAATAATTAATTATCGATGGTTTGACCGTATTTTTGTGTTAGTCTATTGACTGCTTTTCTACCACATCATATGACTTGATATCGCTGCAAAAATGCTTCAAGTGAATGAGGCCTTTTGGATTTACGTCTAAATTTTACACTGCAAGAATTTGAAATTTAATGTATTCAAATGAAGGGCTAAAAAAGCATTCAACTTCGAGAGAAGTAGATTCTTTGTCTTCATTTTCTTGGAATTGAATCTCCTATTCCGGGATAAGTTAAAAAAATATATTTATCTCCGATTTCAAATAATGCTATTCATAATGGAATCATTACCAAAAATTACAAGATTTTATCTGGTGCTTCCCGATGTTTTGATCGTAAAAAACTAATCAAATCTCCTGTAATTTCKATTCAAATTTTAAAGCAATTACCAGAGAAAATAGATTATAATCGATGTTGATTATTTAAAGAGCAAACAATGTCTCAACATCAACTATAGTTAGTGTTTACTCTCTCAGGAAATCGGAAAAAAATWATTAACTTTCATCGTATCTCTATTCTGTCTGTTTGATGTCGAATGACTTGGTTGTTTATTGTCGATAAAATGAATTTTGACTATCTACGACTTGCATTGAATAAGATTAAACTTAATGATAAATTCATCCATTTAACTTGACTAGCGGTTTTTTTTATAGTTAGGAAGAGAAACAGTTGGACAGCGACAGTTAAATATAGGTGTGTCTTAAATAAAAACGACGGTCATGCTTTCAATGACAAAAACCTGCAAATAATAGACCTCTTCTGCTTAAGAAGTGTTTATCCCATTTTAGAACTCTTTTTAAGTGTTCAATTGCATTCTCAAAGGATCTGAAATAGAACAAACATTTTCCTAGGCCGGGTAGTTCTATTTGTCTGTGGGTGTGAAAGAAGACACGTCTAACTTTTTAAGATGTCGATTTGATAAAGGAATATTGATGAGAATTACTAACTAATCTAGTAGTAGCATAAAGTATGCTATTGATTATAAATGATTATAAAGTGCCATGATCTCATCTCAAATGAGCAATCCAAGACAATCATTGATGTGCTTTAAACTGAAGATAAAAGCGAAGAAAATAGAAATAGAACAGACGAAGAACCGMAAATTCCATGAATCAATAAAATAATAAACATTTTAATTTAGCAAAATACAATACAATTTATCGTATAAGAATGACGCTAGTTGACCCTATCGGCCTCGGCTTCTTTGTTCCATCAGATTGGAGCATGTCAAAAATTGTCCAATAGTCTTTATAAAGTGACAGGTCTACAACWCCCGGCATSCTTTSGTTTTCAAAATGGCGTCGCTGCTTATWTAGTTGTATACTAAAACGATCCTAATGTGCATTAGCGCGAAATATTTCAAAGAYGTAGTTATAATTAAGTTAAGTTTGTTTTGTGTTTAGATTATTTTTCTATTACGAGGCCATACTTCAATTAGGTGCAATATACTCAGACAAACGCCAAACACCGTCCATACACTATCCGTAGCTGAAGGTCTAATGTTATTTCGGTGTCTCTATTAACAGGAATCAGTCTTCTCGGATGCTTTTTTTCAAACATGCAAWTATAAATTTCGAATCAGATTTCAATTTCATCTGAAGCTCAATGAAAATGAGTTTTCGAGAGGGTCTTCATTTTAAGCTATATATATTGTTGYATTTTCTACAACTGTTTTGTCGCTACAAAAGGTTTAGCGTCCCATCCTGTTTTGTATAGGTGTGTTACAGAAATAAGGCGCTTAGTGCGGTTATAATCAATAAAACTAGTGTTATCAATGTCGCTATTATCATCAGTTATCATTGTTGCTGATAATAGTGATGCATTTCCTCTTCCTGCTTTATACATGAATATATAATGAGGACGAAGAAGCTTGYTCTCCAAACTTTGTGTTATATCCACGTCGTTATAGTGCAGGRTCGTACTACGTATCGTGGGTTATCGATGAAACCTAACAGTTGTTGGGACAAATACGAATAAAGCGGACTCGGCTGGTTCCAAATATCAATGTAAAGAGGGAATTTTGGGATAGATTCTTCCAAGGATTGTGCAATATAGGATGTTTGTATCATAGGTCAATCACCCATCAGCTTTGAAGGCCCCWTTGAAGGTATCGAATTAGTTGCTTGATGTGAAGTTGTATGCGCGGGTGTTGGCTTCGTGATGGCAAACCTTTGCACCTGCTCACGGGCATAAGTAGTTTTGTTTATGCGRTGCTCGTCGCTCGGTAGGGGAACTTAACAACTCCTCGTTATCGCAAAAAATCATCACAATGCTTGTGTGGTTAAAAATGCTCACAAARACCGTTCAATATCCATCGATTTTCATGCCTTCATATACTAATTCATATCTTACAGTATTGTGTATCACATAAAGTTATCGTAATGTTACAATTGCTGTTCTATAAATGTCTCTTTAATGTTTCTGATTGCATTCATAGTTCTTTGATCAATCTCTTCTCTTTCTATTTCACTATTGTCAAAGTCACCAACTCAATCCTTAACTGATATCAACAAGACAATAAAAAAACAGAATATTTACTTTCCTGACCTAAGGATAAAATGCATAATTGCTTATACCTATGGAAAAGAGACGAGGATTTTKACCTGCGAACCGGCGTGACTCTCTCCTTATCAGTGGTAAAAACATCCGTCAAGCTGATTGCCTTGTGCTTTTTGYTTCTAGAAAGGCTAAAGAGATWAATTATTGGGCAGAAATATCACGTTAAAGTGCATTAATTGAGAAAAACTTTATACTCTGGATTTGAATATCTGCATGCTATGTTCAATCTAATTTAAAGATGATTTTGTGCCAGTTAAAGAACTATAATAGACTCCATAGCTATCCACTTGTTTTAAGTTAGCATTGCATAAGTTGCATTCATTTTTCCATTTCTTCTATTATGTTTGTCGAGCTATAAGCATACAMCTAGAGACTGACAATTATTATTGACAACATGTGTGTGTATTTGTATCTCATTTGTTTTTTGTACATGTTATTAATCCGTAGGTTATATATATAATATTATATATATTCTTTATTTAAAGAAGATTAAAAAAGAGAAAACTAGGACTGATATACACCTAATTCCAATTGAACGTTGTTCCGAGATTTAGGGAYTTAGGAACTTACAAATCATCAAAGACCAAACACAAAGATGATCACTGAGGCTGAACGATTTTTAAAAAAAAAAATTGTTTATTTTAGTAAATTCCAAAATACCAAAAGATCTTTGTCGTTTTCGTAGTCAGTTGTATGTATATAAGCCATTTTTCTGATTTATTACCACATTTTAACATGTTTAAAATATCACTGATCAGCGTTCGTCATCTTTGGCARCATATCCGACGTATATTAATCCGTTTTCCAATTTGTTTTCATTTGTTTTAATTGTCAGGCTACTTCCTTCGATAACTAGCGAGCTATATAATTGTATGACACAATGGTACGTGTATACACAATTAAAACATTGATGGTTTCAAAATCATGCAAGGTGAGATCGATGAAAAAGGCGCATTAGAAGGAAGGGCTACTATACGATACTAGTARCAGGCTAACGGTACATGAAGTCGAACTCARRTCCRATTATTTTGTCATTGCATTACAAACACTTGCACCGCTATAYTGCACATTGTGGGGARCCTCYGGCAACTTTTCTCGCAGGTTTTGAGGCACGTAYTTTCTATGSCGCATGCRCGACTCTCCAGAAAACTTAACGAGAGAAATTGCTGTCGTAAATTATTTTAGTATTTAAAAACAACGTAACTGCAACACCACTAGTCCATATCACTAGCTCTAACTGAGCAATAGACCAATCAGGTAACGCGTTACCAATTCAAATCCTGTGSGAAAAAGAACTTTTAAAATACAACGAACAATGAAACTTACTCCCGAGTGGTTTGAATTGGTTGGAAACGTTT